TGTGTGTGTGTGTGTGTGTGCGTGTGTGTGTGCGTGTGTGTGTGTGTGACGAACGAATGAGCGAAACCAAAGGACAGCGGGCGGGGAGAGGGACGTAACAACAGAAAAAAGGCCGGCCAGAAAGATTCGTGGCCAGAGAAAAAAGGGAGAGAGAGTGAGATAAAAATAGCCGGTCCGCACGCTCCTTTTGGTTGTATCTCTACCTTTCACTCTCTCTCTCTCTCTCTCACACACACACACACACACACACACACACACGCACAATCGTTCTCCATACCGACGGACAAAATGGAATAAACGAGGTCGCATAAGACCTTGATGCACGCTTGAGGAAGGGGATGGGGTTGAGGGAAGGGGCAGCTGTGTGTGTGTGTGGGAGAGAAAGAGAGCGAGGCGAGGGAGCAGCCCAAATGAATGAACGAGATTCCCGTCGTCCCAAAAAAAACAGAAGAAAAAAATAAAAAAATAAAGAAACGAAAACGGCACTCGAATGCCTCGTCATCTACTCAGTGAGGAGCAGGAATGCGTTACAGACAATTCCCATTGTCCCCGCCCCCAAATTCCCGACACCCTGCTCAATGCTCACAAGAAACGAGAAAGACGCGAGTGCATCTGGCCACAAAGGTGACAAAATACAGTATATAGTAATGAGCGAATCTTTCCATTTTCTGTGGGAAAATGCACTCTATCGCTGCTGCACTCCTTTTCTTTTTTTTTTTTTGCGTATACCCCCTCTTTTTATTCTCTCTCTTATCAATTCATCAAAAGCAACGAGGTCGGGATCCTCACAGTCTACCCGGCTGATGCAGTTTTTTCCATCTCTGTCTCCCGTCTTTTTCCAGCCCGAAAAGCAATCACACCACCATGAACTGACTTGGAGCCAATCTCACCAGCATGAACTCGGTTGGTCTGTCTCCCCCTCTCTCTCTCTCTCTCTCTCTCTCTCTCTCTCTCTCTCTCTCTCTCTCTCTCTCTCTGTGCGTGTGTGTGTGTGTGTGTGTATATATCTTTATATACAAATTGTCACATGGTGATGGCATAGATGATGAATTCCACAGCCAAGGCGCACCGCGTCCCTGTCCCGACAGGTGTCACACGAGAGTCGGTCAATAATCCAGAATAATGTATGATTCGGCAATGCACGCGAAAATTCATTTATGGTGAAAATACTAAAGTAGCCTGAATCATCGTCCCACCATCCCACAGTTCCCACTGTGCAGCTGCACGAATGAGTGCCATATAATGCCCGGGTCTGTGCAAAATGCAGGCAGAAATATGAGAATGGTCATTAAGGCCATCGCCTGGCGTCGCATGATGTATAAGAAGGTGGCGACCGTGGAACGCTAACTGTAAGACATTTACAGCAAGGCCTCCTGAGGTAGTATAATTACTCCCTACCCTCAGGAGGTGGACCATTATGGTCATACAACTGATTTTCAACAGCGTCAAGCAGTATAATAAGCAATCGTGACAAAATGGGATGCAGTATAACATTGACGCTGATAAGCCATTGAGGTAGGCAGACATTTGTGGCTGTCAAGCCACAAGCATTTGGTAGATAAGCCTGCAGATTCGAATCGGTCACCACTGTAAGGCCAGGTTCGTCTGATCTGCCTGATCTGGCGCGGTCGACGCGTGATCGACGAACGAACGCCGTCGACGTGGCAGAGCAGGCTGCCGGTAAGACAAAGAACCTGGCAGGGCAGATTAGCATCTCAACACGACGTCGAGAGGAAGGGGAACCGGGAGAAGGAGAGAATGAACGAACCTGCCAACGTCCAAATATGGACAACGAAGATAACGGAGGGGCCGATCTCAGCCGGCGTGGGGAAGAGGAAGACAAACTAGAGGAGGCAGATGAAGAAGAAGAAGAAGAAAGGGATGAAAAAGAAGAAGACGAAGTAGAAGTAGAAGAGGGGGAAGTAGAAGAAGAAGGGGGAGATGACAAAGAAGAAGAGGATGCTGGCAAAAAGGGGAAGGAGAGGGAGGGGGAGAGGGAGGGGGAGGGGAAGGGGAAGGGGAAGAAGGAGGAGGAGGAGGAGGAGAAGGGGGAAGCGGAGAGGAGGAGGGGGAAGAAATAGGAGGGGAATTATAAATAGTCATATAGTTGAACTGCCGGGTGAAGCGTAGGCAGAGAGGGAGGGAGAAGAGGACAACAAACGAGGGGCTGTGACAAACTGTTTCGTCGGAGTTTCACCAACTCGGGCAGTTCTCTACGACGATATAATGCATAGATTGACAGACTCTCTCTCTCTCTCTCTCTCTCTCTCTCTCTCTCTCTCTCTCT